ATTTCTAAGTTTNTGAATATTCTCCCTATTTTGACTCGGTGCCCCGTTCTTTCTCAATTAACAAGCTCCAATCGTTTGTTTGTCCCACTTCTCTTCTTGAATAGTTTAATGATAAGATATCAGTACATTACATTGGGAAGAAGACAGTCAATGGCATCACTCACAAGCTCAGGTGTTCCTCAAGGTGTTATTTTATCACTCTATCTTTTTGTGACTTATATCAGTGATTTACACATTACTCCCAGTGTACAACATTTTATGCACGCCAATGACATCGGCATTTCTTTTTCTGTATCTAACCAATCAGAACTGACTGTATATAACACAAACTGATCTCAACTCGGTACCCATTCCAATTTATTCGATCATAATCTTAATCCCGAGAAGGCCTTGAATGTATTTTTTTCTTCAAACCGTTCCACATTTCCCTCAGACAATCGCCAGATTCCGTGAAAGCCGATGAGCAGAGTCAGGCAGGTGAATTACTTAGGTGGCACACATGAAAGTAAAATTCGCTGGTTTTTACATACCCAACCTACTGTTCTTAAGCTGAAAATTCATTCCTTTCAGACAAGAAGACCACGCCACTTCTGTTCTGATGCGCTGGTGTTAGGAGCTTTTATTTCAGAGTGTACTCTCCTTATTACTATTTACAACTCCCCAGTATATTTGACTGATTTGCTAAATGCTGGCTTCAAGCTGTTGAGGCGTGTCCTCTCAACGATTATGCCTGCTCCCATAAGTTCCGATATCTGTTCCGATTGACAATATCTGTGATGCTCATATTGATGCGTGCTTGAAGTTTGTTCATCATTTTCTATGTGATCACAATTATTCTTTGCACACTGATCTGCGTACATGCAAATCCCATCCTTCTGTCCATTCCGCGTGCAACTTCATCCCATCTTGGATATCTGCCTATAGTAACTCTTTGGTATTCTATCTTGCAGGGATACTGACCAACCTGGAGAGTTCGTTATGAGCTTTCTAGTGCATTGAGTATGTGATTCACATTTTTGCATGCTTGACATCCCACTTTCTTCCGCTTTTTGTCAAAAATCTGACAGTGCTCTCTTTTTGGAGGAAGTCGTGAATACACCTCCGAATAGCTTCAGTAGAATACAATAAAGTGCAACACGATACATGTTCTCCGTCCACGTTCAAGCCCTTAGAATGACGTAGCCAAGTAAACTGTCACTGTGCACAGGTATCCACTTCACGTGTGACACTGACACTCATATCATTCATGTAAATGAACGAACGAAAATATGATGCATAGTTTTAGTTCCGGATAGTGGTCAGTCGGGTCCCTAGACTCGGGAAGCAGCCTATAATTGGAGGGAGTACGGGGGTTTGACATGGATCTAGTGAGTTCTTTGTGCAAGCAGTGATCTTTGTTGTTCAAGATTCGGTCAGTTATTCTTTCACGTGTCGATATGTTTGCAATAAAATCAACCAGTACTTCTCTGGCTATGCCACTACCTCGAGAAAGGAGTGTAATAGACCTGGAAATTAATACGAAATCTTTTCTCTTTCAAGCCGGGAAAAAATACAGGGGAACAGTAGAGCCAATGAGGGAGGATGCACGAATTTTAAAATTACGTTCGGGGAAACAGCAAGCTTCCAAAGCCTGAAAGGATAAAAAAGACTTTACGAACCTTGTTGTAAATGTTCTCTACATGCAAGGTCCAAGAGACGTTGTGGAATAAAAAGACTCCGAGGTATTTATCAGAATCAGCTTTGGGAATGCTGTGACTATTAACTACTAGATCCGGTAAATTATTAAAAGTATTTTGATAGCGGGAGCCAGATTTAAGGCTGAAGGGAACGTCAACACATTTGGGAACATTAAGCAACAACGATCGGGGTAAAGACCAGCTAAAAACGTCATTCAGACTGCTTTGAAGCTGGTGGAAAGAAGCATCAGTATTGGAGGGGCACCCAATCACCACATCGTCGGCATACTTACAGGCAATAAAGTTGGTGGGGACAGGCAGGTGGTTTATGTACAGAGAAAAATGAAGGGGGACAAAATAGCGCTCCGGAAGACACCAGAGTTAATAGAAGAAGGGTACGACATTTTACCACTGCATGAGGAAAATTGCATCCTAGAAGAGTAGTTGATAAGAACGTTTAATACGTCAGATCCTAGGCCGCAGTCAGCAAGACGTTGAATGAGAATGCGACGGTCAAGCGAACCAAAGGCGTTGGCGTAGTCAAGAAAAATAAGGCGAACAGTTCCAGCACTTGTATCAAGAACTGAGGCAACAGAATGGACAACATACGCCACAGTCGNAAAGGGATTTGTTATAAGCAAACTGAAGAGGATCAAACACATCAGAGAGGGTGGTCACACGGTTCAACAGCACTCTTTCAGAGACCTTCGATAGGGCTGAGGTACATGCAATCGGTCGATATTTTGAAGAACCCTTCTTG